GCACGTTCGGGAAGGTGCTTAATACTATTAACGAAAATATTATCGGGGTCAGGGGCTTTATTAGGGGAAACTTTAATCGCGGCCTCGATCTCATCGAGCGTTATTTCGTAAGTGAGAGCTTTCTGTGAGGGAGAGAGATACTCAGATTTAGAGGAGAGATCTGAGAGAGAGAAGTTACAGATTTTCTTTTCGAAATCGAGGCAAACCTCTGGGGGGCGACGCCCCAGGGAACTGGGGGGTTCAGTCATAGCTTCCAGCAGGGTCAATGCAAAAACCGAGGCTTTGCTCTCATCACTGCAATGAGTCCCGCCGTCGTATTTAAGGGGTCTATCATGGTTACTTTTAGGATTGCCAAGTCTTTTAAATAGCTTCCAGAAATTTGCTGGGTCTTCTTCGTTATTAAGTTGCTCACAAAAGTTATTCCAGTACTGATCGCTCTCGCTCTTAATGAGGGCTTTAATCTCGTGATTAAGTTTATTTACTACTGGTTTAAGTATGGGGTCCTTATTACGATAAAACAGACGACGGAGTTTCCTCCGCTCATTAATCTTAGAGAGAGTTTGGGGGAAAGAGCGTACGGTTTACTGCAGGGGGACAGCTTGGGGACGGCAATTTCCTGGGCAGTTTGAATCATTTCAGTGATGAGAGTGACTGCTTCCTCGAGTTGGGGGACAGTATCAAGAAGGAGAGAGTCGGGGAGGAGAGTCTCTACGTTATCCTGGAAACTATGCCAGTCAGCGTTACGAAAATCAAAACGAGGGAAGCTTGCGAGAGATTGGGCTGATGTGAGAAGTTACAGTTAATGAGGATGGGCACATGATCGCTCCCTACGTCTTCCCCTATAGAGAAGTTATGGGAAAAAGGGAGGAACTGTGCACTGCCCAGTGCTAGGTCAATTCTGTACGAATTTCCTAGTCATGGGCAATGGTGGGTGGGGCTGTCGTCATTTAAAATAGAGAAGCTGCTGGAGGCTATGAAGTCGCTGAGAATGCGACCTGCTGCGTTGGGTTCATCGCGAAAGGACAGATCAGGAGAATGAGCGTTTAAGTCGCCGAGAAGAAGCGAAGGACCGCTGATTCCATTAATGAAGTCAAGGTCAGAATGAGAAGGAGGAGAGTTAGGAGGAAACATCCGCACCTTCTCTCACTCTCAACAATACCCTTTTGCTTAAAAATGTGGCTAATAGAGCCTGAGTACTACGGTTCACACTAATTAATTAAGACTCAGCTCCAACGACTCTTACATGTGACGACTTCCCCCCTGGAGCGGTCTATTTTGAAANACCGATTATCTCGGACTCATGATGCCAAGTGTGATTAATTAATTCTGAGTCGAGGTTGCTGAGAATGTACACTGCTGAACCCCCCTGGAGCGGTCTATTTTGAAAGCTGGGTTTGTAACAGTAATAATTCCTGATAGAAGGTGCCTTTTTACTTTTAAGTTCGCTGAAGCAAATAATAACGGGCTTAACTTGCTCAATGTAATGCAAAATTTCAGGGCGCTTGCCTTGGAAGGAATTACAATTTAAGTGAAGAAAGGAGACAAGATTAGACGTCATTAGTTAGTAGAGGAGGGGAGGACGGTAGGGGATGGGGCGGGAAGCGAAAGAGAGAAGCCGTAGGCGTGCAGAGCAGCGATGATGCTCTGCACTTGCTGCAGGAGCAGCTGAATCACCGCGTCGCGCTCGGGAGACGCATGAGCGGCGTGGGCGGACGCGGGCTCGATCGCGATGACCGCGGGCGCTGCGCCAGCGACGGGTGCTACGCGGATGGCGGCGGACGCCTGTGCAGATGCCGCGGGGGGACGCGAGGGCGACGCGACGGGAGTCGGGGCGGCAGTTACAAGCTGGCGCGAGGCGGGGGCGACGGGAGCGAGGGCGACCTGACGCGCGGGCGGTGTTGTCCATGCGGGTCGCGAGGGGGGTGGCGCGGGGACAAGCTTCACGGGCGTCCTGACAGGGGGCGGGTTCGGATAATTAAGAGCCGGCCTAGAGTACGCGCCTAGGCTGGTTTGCTGTTTCAGCTCTTCCTGGATTTTCTTTGCGAGTAGGGAGTTTGAAAATCTGGGGTCACTGGCGACCTGCCGTCGTTTTTCTTGCCGTTTGGGGCAAGCGGCGGAGTTCGCCATGTGGGCACCCTGACAATGGCTGCATTTAGGTTGCAGACCATTGAGCCTCGCCTGACAATTCTTCTGGGAGTGGCCCTTCCCCGCGCAGAAGGAGCACACATCGCGGTCAGATTTGCACTGGCCGATGTAGTGACCATATTCCAGGCATTTGAAGCACTGGATTATGCGAGGCTGCAGAACGAACTCCTCTACTTTGAGACGCAGGCATCCGATCACAAGAACTCCTGCTTTCAGGAGAGCGCGGGCCGTGTCGGTGTCGAGCGCTTTAACTAGGACCATTGGGAGAGGTGCGCCGGTCTTGGTTTTCCTCATGCGGATGAGGCCGCCTTCATGCAGGGAAATCCCGTGCTCCGTTGCGAGGACATCGCGGACGGTCTCTAAGTCCTCCTCTAGCCCAACGCCTTTGATGATGAATTTAAGAAGCGGAAGCCTACTTTTAGCGGGGAAGGCTTCTCCGCCGATTCCGGACTCGCTCCACCTGCTACATATCCGGGGAATGTCTGATGCCTTTTCGAGGCTCAGCACGAATCCAGCCGATCGAGTGGCACGGATATTCAGCAGGCGGACGGTTGGAAAAAAAGCAGAGAAAGAGCGAATAAACGCGATTTTCTGCTGGAGTTTGGGAGTCAAACCTTGAATGAAAACAGGGTTTTGAAAATAGTAGGCTTTTGTGGATTCAGATCCGTTCGGGATTAGACTAGCGGCAGTTGCATTAGGGAGAGGGCTTTCACGAGGCGCGTTGGAAGATAAGGACGATTTCGTTGGGGATGAGGGAGGCGTAGCTGAGTGAGAAGAGGGCAAGTACGGAGCGAGGTTAACATTATTGCGAGCAGCCGAATTCTGAGGAGTGAGGGGTGGAGGCGAGGGTGAGTGTGTACCTGACGAGGTGCGGGAGGCCGGCGGAGGGTGCAAGGATGCAGCTGGGGATGGCTGCCGCCTCGAGCGAGGAGAGAGATCAGAAGAGACTGAGGGAGCGTTCGAGGAAGGGCCCCGTTTCCGCAGTCTCCTCTTCGCAGGCATAGCTAATGCCTGAAAAGAGAGAGATTGAGGAAAAGGTGTGGGAACTTTAAGATGAATGAAGGAGGAAGTGATGTGAAAGAAGAGGGACAGATGATAATGAGATGGATCGTCGAAAGCTCGGTCGATAAAAACTGACAGAAACTTTCGATAGGATAATGATAGATGAGTATGTATATGAGGTGAAGGATGACGCCTTTAGAAAGACGATTTGAAGGCTCGCCGGGACAACAGGCCCCGGCAGTTGGGGTAAGGAAAGAGCCTAGGCCGAAAAAAAGCACGGCTAGGCAAGCTATAGCCTGGGAAAGGACTCTAGCTGAGGGATAAGAAAATCGCGTTCGTAGGGGCTCTCATAGGGAATATGAGCTTGATTATTTCCTGGACTCCATGATTCTGTCTCGAATATGCGGATAACAAATGATGAATCGTCCGACTTTATTGATTGCTATAATGAGACTAGGCGAGACATATAGCGAGGTACTAAACATTCCTGTGAAGGACAATTACAGGGAGAGAGAGAAGGGTACTTCTGTGTACTGTGAGAAAGGCGAGACCTATACCTCCATCTAATGGTCTGAAGGGTAACTTCAAGTGCGGTCGGGCACATTGAATCATCGCGTCGGTCCAATATTGGATGAATAATCATATAGCAATATCGGAATTTCATTGTTTCCCCAACATTCAGGCAATATTGCCCAAGACGTAGCCAACGTACCCAATGTCGGTCCAGCATTGAGCCAATATCTTATATATACTGGGGTACTCTTCACACCTTAGCTGATTTGAAATGATCAGTATACATGCAAAGCCCATGCTGGCATCTCTTCCTGTAATCACATTTTTCAGTATCATGAGATTGGTAATAATAATACATCATCATCATGACTAATTCTTTCATTTTTCAATGTAATGTTCTCTTTCATTCATGTCTTCTAGGAAAAGAGATGAACTTCTGTAGCTAAAGTAATATTTGCATATTTAGGAAAATTTCCGTCTAAAATTCTAGAACCACTTGTCATGGACTTGGCATCCATATACTGTGCAAGACCATTAATACGAGGTCTGACAATAAAATAACGAGACTGTATTTTTTAATAGCTATATATTTTATATTATTGTAAACTGTGGTGGTCTCCTTCAAAGTAGTTCCCTCTTGCAGCTATAGAGGAATTCCAGCATTTTTTCCAATTGTCGAAGCACTTCTGGAAGTCAATCTTCTGCAAGATGTTTAGAACCCCCATCGTAACCTTCTGAATCTCTTCCACGGTTTCAAAATGTGTTCCCTTGATGTGTTTCTTCACATTAGGGAACAAGAAAAAGTCACACGGAGCGAGATCCGGTGAATAAGGAATACAGTTCAAGTACTGTAATTGATTTTTTTGCCAAAAACTCATAAAATGGAAAGTGCTGTGTGTGACGGTGCGTTATCGTGGTGCAAAATCCACTTATCGGGGAAAATTCTGGCCTCCCGAACCCGCTGTCTCAGACGTTTCAAAACTTCCAGATAAAATTGCTGGTTGACTGGTTCTCCAGCAGGAACAAACTCACCATGCATTATCCCTTTGCAGTCGAAAAAAACAACAACATCGTCTTAACCGGTTAATCGGTTGGTTTTTCTTCGAGTTTGATTTTTTTGACGAGTGCCCCTAACAGTACTTTAGGTAAAGTGGTACTGCTCTGCAATCACTGCAAGTATCATGACAAGTTTGTTACTGCACAGACTTAAGACATGCACTGACAGGTTACAGCAATCGCCACTAACCCAGTGTTGCCACACGCATTACAGTGTTGTCAGTCTTGTTATTTTATTGTCAGACCTCGTACATAACTGCTATGCAGAAACGGGCAACTACCCTCTATCTTTAATGTCAGCTGAAAAGACAACAGGGTTCCTACTTGTCCTAGGGGTCCCACTTACCCCCTGGCAACCACACAGAAAAAGGAATATCCTTTTCTAAAAATTTATTCTTTCCATGAATATACTGAAAAAAAAAGAATTAGTGCAGCCACGTGTAAAAGGAGCTCTCAAATGATTGGATCTCAAAGTTAACAAGCAGAATATCTAAATTTAAAAAAATCCGCTGATTCCATCCGACCAACTTTTTCAAACCACATTTTGGAAACATTTTTGAAATATTCTGTAGTAATGACCTCGAGAGCCTTATCTAATGGCCTCATTATGTGAATCTTGGAATAAATCTCACTCGAGGAGCTGCTTTTCGATCTTCAGTCAGGAATTGTACTGCGCTGGGCGGGCGCAAACTCCCAATTCATCTACGTAAAATGTGCAAGACCTGAAGACGGTGAATCTATGTAGGCAGCGGTCCTTCACATTATACGAGGTAGGTCGCAGCCCATTTCTCTGACGGGGCTGCACGACCCACCAACGGATTGTCCCACCAAAAACATTATCGTATGTTTTGGATTTTTATCGCCACAGTCTACAAGTTTCACACACGTACTATGGCCTCTTAACATATCACAAAAAAATTATAACATCCTCTGTGCACTTTGAGCATGAATATCATTTCAGCGAAGAGATGAAAGAAACTGGACAAGTGTTTTAAGCATCAAGTTATTTGGCCTCATGGGGCCAACAATTCGCCTTACTGAAAATTCGCTTGGCATCACTAAAATAGCAGCTGTGAAACATTGAGGAATCCAAGTTAGGATTCTTATGGATGACTCAATTAGTTGTACTCATGTGGCTACAAGATTACATCTATGCATCCAATCTATAAGCCAGAAGTAAAATCAAAAGAGATCAGAATATTCATCCGAGGAAATTACACCAATACCACATGGGGATCAATAAAATAAAAGAAAAAAGTGACCTAAATAGCCCCACAAAACCCTAGAGAGTTTCAGGCTCACACAGACACATATTCTGTTACCTTTTGATGGAGCAATTGAAAAAAATTATTCATGTAACCCACCTTTCAGTAAGTCTTCTAATATTAACCAGGAGGCGCAAAAAAGAACCAAAAACTGGTTAAATTTTGTACATTTGGTACTTGGACTATTTGGAAAATGAGCAGAAGACTGCATAAAAGACAATATATAGACTAGTGCAAAGAGGTCTTGAAGCAACAAAAGGAAAGGGGGATGATGCAAAAAAGGAGATCTCAAATTCATGCATGCAAGCCATACACATACCATATTGAGGATACAAGCCAACTGAAGCATGAAGAGACTTGTTGTGTCTTTTGAATCATCATCAGATGGGAAGAACATGTTGATTGGCCACACATCTATGTACCACATTTGGCGAGATCTGCATAATACATCAATACCATAATCATGTTTGAGAATAAAGCTATTAGTAGTAGTAATCACAGCAGACAAAGGAAAGGTTTATACTTGAGGATCCTGGAGGTATCAAAATTATAGAAATGCCGACACAAGCAAAGATTCTTTTGCAGTTTGATGATGTCACGGATCATGGCTACATACTGCTCTGCATCCAAGGTCTTCTCTGTCACCAGGGATCGCAGGCGGAAATCTTCCTTCCCAGGCTCCCTGCTTTCAAACCTCTGGGTATGATAAGAGGATCCTTCCCTATAAAAGGAGTAGGGAGTGAGAATTTTCTTGCAATATAAATGGAGTGCATTTCATATCAAATCAGAACTAAGTATTATTCCTGTAAGAGCTCTGGGGCTCTTGCAAAATATGAAATCGTTTCAATTGGTCTGGTGAGATGCAGAGTGGCATGAACCACTTGAGGGTGATTCCTTCCATGACAAAACGACCAAAAATTTCACAAATTAAAACCTGACCATCTCAGATTTTGATTACATTTTTCATGCAAGGTTATCATGTCCGAAAACTTGGAAGTATAAAATATCAGGCCTATTGGGTCAATAGGTCAGATGTTACAGGGTGGTCAAAATGTAGGGTCACCTTCTAACTTCCAATTTTGATATCACTGTAACTCAAAAACTATTTGTACTAGAACCTTGACTAAGGTGTCAATTCACTGGAAATTGCCTGAAATATTAAAATTTTAAATTAAAATATCACTCGAATCAAAAACGTACAATGTTATTTATGGACAAAAAATTTGACTTTTGAACTTAGCATGAACCCCCAAAAATTAAAATCTCCCAAAAATACAATGGAAAGGTGAATGACCCTGCTACTAATTTGAAAAATTACAGAGAAGTAATATCTTTTGTACTCCGCCAATAAATTTTTCAATCAGAAGATCCCTACCACAAATGAGGCACTCCGGCTCAAGTAATCAAAACCGTGGTTGCGTGTGCGACTGGGATTTCGTTGCAAAAATGCCTGCATGATGAACTCACTGAGATATGAAGGCATACAAAATTTCAGAGCTCTAGACCAAACGGTTTAGAAGACATTGAGCCTCAAAAGTTCGCCCCCAGGGGGAATAGTCACCCCCAAAGGTCAGACGGTTATCTTTGGCCCTATCTGAGTAAGGAAAAAATCGTTGGCCTCAAATGAAAGCTGAGACTAAGCTTAATCAGATTTGACAGGTTTTCGGTTTCCGTAGTTATCCATGTTTCTGAACAAATATGGTACTTATTTTCTTAATTTTCGTAAAAAGGGAATCACAGTAACACAATGAGCTCCTGATACGTTAAATTTGAACTTAGCATGAACCCCCAAACATTTAAACCTCCAAAAAATACCGTGAAAAGGTCAATGACTCCTACTGATAAGCAAAATTGGAGAAAAGTAATTTTTTAATATTCCATCCATAAATTTTTAAATCAGAAGATCCCCACCACAAATGAGGCATTCCGGCCATTATTGGCATGGGAATCCTGGTGACAACCAGGCAAACTCCCCCAGAGACCAGTGATCAGCTGTAGTTCAATTATCCCACATTGTTTCCAGTATGAAATTTCTCCAATTCCAGAAATTCTCCTTCTTTCCTTTTTTTTTTTTACAGGAGGTAGACACCGAAATAAAATCTATACTATTACAATGTGAATTAGTTAACTTCTCACCAGGTTCAGCATTTCGACTTGCATGTATATTTACATTTGACGAGAAAGATACTCCAACAACTAAAATCTTACCATGTGAATATACACCCCCAACACTGGTATTCGATTGTGTTACAGATTCAAGTTAATGGGAGATAGTGGTATCATTCCACACCACTTGAGGGCAAACCAATATCGTCAGGTGTATTCGACTATCGATGCCACACCGTTAGGAAGACAGTCCAATAATTTTCCATCGTTTAGTATTCAGTACCATGCAGTATTCAAATCATTTTCACTAGATTAGTCAATTTTACAATAAGCTGAACCTGGGAAAATGATTTACGATGTTGGTCTACTCATCTCCAGAGACATGTTCGACTGCCGAACTCTGTTCTAGCCTATGGTAGCCGTTTGACCGTTTTGGTGACTTTTCCCACGGAGGGCTACTTAGGCATTCAATATCTTCTAAACCTTTTGGGCTAGAGCTCTGAAATATGGAATGCCATCATATCTCAGAGAGGTCATCATGCATGATGTTTTGCAACGAAATTCCAGTCGCACACGCAACCACAATTTTAATTGAGTGAGCCGGAATGCCTCATTTGTGGTAGGGATCTTCTGATTGAAAAATTTATTGGTGGAATACAAAAGATATTACTTCTCTGTAATTTTTCAAATTAGTAGCAGGGTCACTGACCTTTCCATGGTATTTTTTGGGAGATTTTAATTTTTGGGGGTTCATGCTAAGTTCAGAGGTAAAATTTTTTGCCCATAAATAACATTGTGCGTTTTTGATTCGAGTGATATTTTAATATAAAATACGAGGGTTGATCGAAAAAAATGTATACAAGGTCCATTACGGAAAAACCACGCGGTGGGCAGCGTAGGCGTGCAATTAGCGATATTAGGGGGGTCACACTAGGCAAAAATGCGCGAGGCATCACTTGTACCTCTTATGTTAGGTGAGGAGTGGAGTCGTGAAATGGCGATATGCTTTGAAAATTGGTCCCGCGTTGAAATTCGAGGTACCTTCCATTTTTTGTGGGCCCAGCACATCGCTGCAGAAATTCATTGCCTGTTGTTGGAGGTGTATGGGGATGGTAAGTCAACTGAACAACTTGTAGCCATATGGTGCAGACAATTAGTGGTGAACGAGTGTCGACAGTTGACAAGGAGAGCAGTGGCAGGTCTTGCGATTCGTCAACAAAAGACAACGCAATTCGTATTGACTGACCAATTCCGGAAGACTGATTATGATGATGGGTACTATGCAACTCTGCAACACCAGCTTGAAGCAATCCGGCGAAGATGGTCAGGATATCTAACACAACGGGGGTTTCTGTTCCAAGGTAACGCTCGTCCCCGCGTGGTGCGGCTGCTGCAGAATATGGGATGGGGGGTCCTTCAGCGCCCACCCTACAGCTCTGATCTTCAACCTAGCGATTTCCATCTATTTCCGTTCATGAAAAAGCATCTCAGTGGCTGTCCTTTTTGGTAAGATGCTGAGGTGGTGAAAGAGGTTAAAAAATGACTGCACCAGACATGGTGCAGTCATTTACGCTGTCGCCAATGAAAATCGTATACCTCGGCGGGACAAATGCTCACCGTCCAATAGGATTATGTGAAAAAGTAGACCCCCCATGAGTACTCTATGCAGCACACGTATCGTATCGTTTGGTTGCAATAAAAACAAACACTTTGAACGCTGGTTGTAACTTTTTTCCGATCACCCCTCGTATGAATATTTCAGGCAATTTCCAGTGAATTGACACCTTAGTCAAGGTTCTAGTACGAATAGTTTTTGAGTTACAGTAATATCAAAATCGGAGGTTAGAAGGTGACCCTACATTTTGACCACCCTGTAGCATCTGACCTATTGACCTGATGAGGCTGCAATTTTACACTTCCGAGTTTTCGGACATAGCAACCTTGCATTAAAAATTTCATCAAAATTTTAGATGGTCAGGTGTTTCCATCCATTGGTTGATTTGTCATGGAATCACCCTTGAAGGAGGGCTACCTTCATTCTTTGGGATAGTTTCAAACAACACCTCAAAAAAAGTTGAGCTCCAGAGGCAAGCTCCTCCTTCCTCTGTACAAACAAATTATGTACAGATCATACATGGGATACAGGAAAGAATTGAAGAGATAGAACCAACACTTACATTCATTGTAAAGGCAACAAAAAGCAGGAAAGATGGAATGTCAGAGATACACACAATCTCTTCCCCTATCCCAATGATTCCCACCTTTTTCAATTAGCAGCAAGCATCAAGACTCAAAAATATATTATGGGATACCTAGCCTTGGAAAGGGTAGTGGAGGAAAGAGGGGAGTTGTGGGTTAAATTATGACAGCTAAAACACCATTCCAAGGAAAACTGAGCAATGGGGAGGGAGTGGATGGGAAAACCCCTTCCATTTTTCCTCGATCGCCCTATCAAAAATCCCACGTGAGTCGTCATGTATTATATCTTAAATCAAAGGGAATTAAGAGACCTTTCAACCATAAGGAAACTGTCATGATTGGTGAGTGGAATTTTGAATGATTAATGAGAAAAGGGGGCAATATCCACACAAGCTCAGGGAAAATGCTCAGTTTTTTCTTGGAAAGATGCAACAGACTCTGCTGCAAAGAAGGGAACCTTCAAAGCCATAATAAAAAAGTTTGGCATATGACGAGCAACTGGACTTCCTCCACATACAGGGTGTCTCACTTGAAAGTCAAACCCACATCCAATCTGACTCTAAATTTAAATCTATGCAGTGCTACCACCACTCTGAGTTACCACCAAATCTCCTGTTACCAGCACCATGGCAGATGTTGATATTAAGTAGGGGGGATAGAGGTTTGTGAGTTAGCCCCTTAACAGCATCAACTGCATACAAGCATCATTTCCCTCTTACAACACAGTAAAGAACTAATAAACCACTACCAAGAGGAAGAAGTGATGGTGTTGAAAGATTGAAAATCCTTCAACACCATCACTTCTTCCACTTTTTGTCCATTTGTATTGAAATTTATCACTTCACTGACTTGTGCAACAATGTTTAAAATAAAAGTTATATTTTTTAATTCTCAAAAAAACTGAAAGAGTAGAAAATTACCCAGCAGTTACAGGGTTAAGCAGCAACCACATTTTAAATGAATAAAGGAGCATTTATATTGAATGCAGGTTACAATTTAATACTTTCAGTCCTGGCAGGACTCAGGAATCCCACATTTTCTTCACGTGTGTTAAAGGGCTACATAGGAATGCACAACCTTGAGGCCATGGTGGGATTCTGAGTCCCTGCTTATAGTAATTGACCACATGATGTCAAGATGACAGCAGTCCACAGTAATATAAAGCTGCTGTATTTCCTCTGGTGCTTCAAAAATGGTGTCATCACATATACATGGTGTTTCAGATGAAGCTGTGTCAATTCGTTTTTGGTAGGAATGATAGTAACTTTCATTTGATCAGTTCAATATCTCTCAAACTGCATCTATGTAGAAGAAATAAGGTTTTGCCAGATTTGAGAGAAATTGACCCAATGTGTCATGTGCTACACCATTTCAAACTTAAAGGATAAGAAAAAGCACCAGACATCTGAAGCTGAGAGCCATAGAGGAATGGCAACAGGGACTGCATTCCAGCATCCAAGAACATGGAAGCCATTTTGAGTGTATGCTATGACCAAAGGTATGAATTTGCTTCGAATTCAGCAGAAACCTTTCATTATCTATCTACATTCAGTGTTTCTTAAATTGGGCTGATCAGATGAAGCTTTTATCTTCAGTATTACAGTTTTTCCCAATTGCTAAAGCCCAATTTCATATCTCAATGGACATTTTTCAAAATTTAACGTACGATCCGCAAAACGCTGCGCTCTTTTCTCATATCTATGTGTCCGGCAGTCAAAAGGGCATCCCTTTGTCAAAATCAAAGTACGTTCTTCGATATTCTAACGTACGGGGTTAGGAACGTCTATGGACGGCCAAGAAGCAGACCGGGAAAATAATTCCTCCGAATACGGAAAGGCGATAATGTAATACTTTCAAAACTTAACGTACCCGTGTCAAAACTGTGCGTACTGCTGTCGAGATTCAATTTCCTTTCAACATTCTAACGTACGGGGTTAGGAACGTCTATGGACAGCCAAGAAGCAGACCGGGAAAATAATTCCTCCGAATACGGAAAGGCGATAATGTGATAATGTAATACTTTCAAAACTTAACGTACCTGTGTCAAAACTGTGTGTACTGCTGTCAAGATTCAATTTCCGCTCTCCAAAAGGGACAACAGAATGTCCTACAATCAATTTCTAACGTACCTGGAGTCAAAACCTAACGCACCATCAGCAAAACTCAAAGGACGATCCATTACTGTGAATGGGAGAGCGAGGAGTCTCGCGGATCGATGCCCGCCCTGTCAGCCATACAAAGCAAAACCGACCAGAACCTCCCCAATGTCTTTAAATGGAGCGTACGTTACTTTTTGAGGCAAGGACGTTAAGTTTTGACGTGAGTGCCTTAAATTCGCTCTAAAGGACACCAGCAATGTATCCTATCAGAAAGTTTGTTTTGGTGAAGGACATATGGCACGTATGCTGTATAACAATTTTAAATATAATTAATGGCGCTATATCTGGCTGATGGTGTGCTGGTGCCAAAAAACTGAAGTGATTTCTCTATGAAATTTGTTCATGAACTATTTTTACAGTTTTGCAGATCATACACTGAGGACCTCTTGTCCTCAATGTCTACTCAGACAACTAACACAATATAGGTTCAGTTCTTGAGTGGATATGTATTTGCCAGGTGTTTCAACAGTGATTAGCCAGGTAAAGTCAATGCAGACTTAATCCTATGAAAGCCATCCAACAGCCCATAGAGATTATTTCATGTGAGATATTTGGAGGAGGTGCTGCTCGAAAGCACACAACTTCACCCCTCCCATTCTTCCCCTCTCGCCCTCGTTAAACGGGGAATTGAACATTTCTGCACCACAATAGATGCCTCTGCGATCACGGTTTCTGCCTGTTGGGTCCATTTTCCCACATTTCCCATTTCCTTTCCACGCCTTAAAAAAGTCAGACTTATTTTGAGAAGTCACTTCTTCACTTATGTCATTAGGAAGCAAATTTTTATAAGCTAATAAGCCCTAAAATATGCACATGCATATGCGATTAAAAATTGTAAAATATGCATGAAATATGCACGAAAATGGGAAAATATGCAAAATCATACTTTTTAAACGCAGTACGAATTTTTCAGGTGAAGGAAATTCAAGGTACATTTCATGCCTCAACTGAGTATAGTTGATCTATTCTTGTGACAACCAGCGGCGAAGTCAGGAATTCGCCAATGGAAGGCTAAGGGAAACGAACAGTCTATTTTTCTAAACTCTTCGAGAGGGATGGTGGTAGCGGATGGATTTAGAAGAGTTTCGGGGGATTTACCACTCCATCCAGCGCATAATAGCCTGAAAATTGTCATAGATTGCTCATAAATAAACATATTGTTGGAAAACTCTTCCTTTTTTGATAAAAATGACCGAAACATGCATAAATATGCACATATAAATGTAAATATGCACATGTTGAGAAAAGTGCAAAAACATGCATTTTTATGCATTTAAAAAATGGCAGAAATCGCTTCCTATACCAATAATACCTGATCCTTTCTGGGTTGTATGTTCCTAGGAGACTGCAAAAAAATATGCATCCCTCGTCAGCATTCAAAAAGAGTGCAGGGCGTTGCATCCGGTCGAAAACCCCTCTACGAACCAATTGAGCAAGCCTAAGTTGGAAAGATTTGGTGATCATAACATGAGATTTTCGTAATTAACACTTATATCTATGAACGAAAATGGGCCCCAAGGTCATACAACTTTTGTAACCTATGGCAAACAAAAATGACCATAAAATAGCTGACAGATGTGATCAGCTCAAGGCAATAAGCAACTATTTTCACCCATGCACGATGTACGTACTCCTGAAGCAGCCAACGAGGCTAAACTCGGGGCTGCGATTACCTTTTCAACCCTTTTTAGCTGGTAATAACAGAAATTAATAATAAGTAAATACTCAAGATCAGGTATTTAGGATACTACTGAATCGCAGTCAGCATTATCGCTTGTCAATGACATTTCTGCATCGACATAAGAAATTCTTTCAACGTTTGAGACGAAGCATTTAGCTCTGACAACTCTAAGCAATGAGAAAATCTTTGTGATTGGTTGGAATGGACTTGGAGTATAGGCCAATGGATTGTAGTCGTCAGCCATGCATCCATCCTTGGCGCTCGTCGAATCGGCCTTCTTATCCTTTTCCGTACGTTAAGTTTCGAAAAAGGTCCATGAAGATATGAAAATCGCACTCCCAGTTTAGCTTTTCGTACGTTAGCAATGAAATCAGATGTTAAGTTTTGTGAAAAGATTGCAGAGTTCAGGGATTTGTTCAAATTGTTTTGAAAACGGAAGTGTAGTTTTGAGAAACGGACATTAGCAATTGGGAAAAACTGTAATAAAAAAAGGAAATGACATATGAAATGCATGATAACAATGTCCCAGAGTTCACGTGGTCAATCCCCCCCCCACTGCAATTTTTTTCATCCATGATACGCGTTTGCTACTTAGAGGGTAGGGTTCAATTAGAAATCTCAACCTGAATTTTCAAGCTGGACAAGGGCTGTATATTCAGACCAATTCCAGCTGGCAAAAAGCTGGAAAATGCGTGGAAAATACAGGTTGTTTAACAGTTGGAATTTTCCAACTGGAATGCAGCTGATTTCAATGGCTGTTTTCAGCTGGAAATTTACCCTTAAAATTTTATAAAGAGGACCCTCCAGTTGGAATACAGTTGAATTTAAGTTGTTTCTGTAGATGGACCTCTAGCAAGAATATCCAGCAAAAAATTATCATTTCACCAGTGGTATTGCAATTAGGAACCAATCTGGATCTGACTTTACTTTCCAGCTGCTAAGCTGTAGGAATGGGTCCAAATTTACAGCTGGGGTCCACTGGGAGTTATAGCTGTTTCCAACTGGGATTTTAAGCTGGGGGGGATTCAAAATCAAACTTGGCAAATTACTTTAAAGGTTATACATAGCTAATATTTCATGTAAAATATAATGGGTGTATTAAAAAATTAGTTGCAGAGGCATCTGAAAGTTAATAGCCCTCATTTGTAATAACCTCATGCAGTGGCACATTTTACAGGGAGGTGCAGGGTGGTGTAGGTGCCCCCATCCCCTTCGCATCCCTGGGACAGGGCTTGACTCTGCTGCCCTGTCCCCCTGACTCTTCAGTCAAAAAATGGTTGTAAGTAAAACATAGACTTGTCCATGGATATTCACCACATATCAGGCATGATGCCATTAGCCCATCACACTTAATACTGCAATGCAGGTAAAATATATTTTATGCTATACAATTGTTAATATATGAATATATATATGATGGTACATGGAAAATATATGACCGACCATACATGGCCATATAGAATCAAACACCTTGCAATATATGGAATTTTCACATGGGGAACCTCATTGGTTGCAACACATCTGACCTGACCTCTGTCAATCACATTTTATAAATAAAATCATTTTTGCCAAACCTTTGATCAAACAAAACCTCACCTCTGTTTCAAATTGGAAAATGACAAGATGTTCAGTCAGCTCAGTGAAAGCAAAAATGCAAAAAATACACCTTGAAATAGGTCAAGGTTTCACATTAAGATAAATTTTGATATTTCACACACTTGACACAAATTTTTGTTATAATCATTTTTTATATATAAATTTGAGGTCTGCATCAAATACCCTCATATTTGCTGAGGAGGTTAAAACTACTAGCCTCAGGTCAATTAACCCATTGCAGTACAAAAATGGGTATGCTCATCACCTGATGCATTGATACGTGTATTTGTTCTATATTTTCTAACCACATTTCCCATTTGATATTTGTTGTCGATTCTCAATAATTTACTGATCGTTTACAAAGCAAATCCATTAGATATAGTAGGGTAGCAAAAATGCTAATTTTCACGGATTTAAAAACTGAGACACCACCAAAATTTGTACTGCAACAGGTTAATGTCCTTACCAGCATTTGGAAAGCTCGTTTTCATTCTATACCTTTAGCCCCTCACTGGTCACAGTGATGATGGGCCTGTTTAGCAGTCCCCTCTCCCTTTAACACATTGACTTCCATGCAGCTCATCAGTGTCCACAATGTAAGATTTCCCTGCCTGCCAAAAAGGAATTTCTATCTACTCTTCTATACTCAGATCTTAGTTTTTGTGGCTGCCTGGTGCAAACTGATAGTGTGTGTTATTTATACAGATGTGTCCACCATGACAAAAAATGAACCCAGAAGCATTTAAAAGAAGCCCAGAAGAAGAATTTAAAACTGTCTCAAAATATCACCATTACCAAACATCAGGATGTTCTTGGTGTCAAATCACTTATTATTGTTTTGCCTAGGCAGTCAATGTGTTACTCCATCAGCTTTGATATTTGAAACTGTTTTGTAGCACTATCTAGTCTTAAGAACAAACACATGAAATGGTCTTAGTGATATGTGCTCAAGCAGTAACCCAAATATTTTAGACATTTCATCAAGTATCAGTTAATTTTGAAAATGACTAAATATCATATTACTTAGTTTGCCAAAATCATGCACTTTCTCTTAAAATAATATTTAACCCCTTTGCTACCATTGACAAAAAATTGTCATCACAATGATGTACGAGGGTCAGTCATTAAGTTCTGAGACCCCACATCATAAAGTGAATAAAGTCAGGTTTGCTAATACTTCTATTGTAATCCTTCAAAGTACTCTCCAAGGCAATCTACAATTCCTCGCCACCTATGTGGGAGGGCTGGAATGCTTCCATCCAGCCTATTTCGTTGTATGTCCCTCAACTTCTCTGAAACAGCCAGGTTGACATCCGCCAAGGATTGATAGCGTATGCCACGAAGCGGTTCTTTGAGTTTTGGGAATAGATGGAAGTCTGGGGGAGAGATGTCTGGTGAATAAGAAGTGTGAGCCAGCAATTCCCAGTCCCACTCAGCTAATTGTGTAACATTAATACGTGCCCTGTGAGGACCAGCGCCATCATGAAGAAACGGTGGACCTTGCTCGATCAATTCCGGCTGCAATTGAACTATAGCCAACCACCTGTGAATCAGGACCCATCGGTACAGGTCGGTGTTGAGAGATTCAACAGGTGGTACAACATAATCTTCTTACGAGGTCTCAGAACTTACTGACTGACCCTCGTATATCCAACTCTACCTTTGACAGCACCCTGTTTTCATGCAAAAGTCTTGGCATTTACCTCAGTAGGTGTGAGGAGTTAGTGCTAAAGAAATAGGAAAGACATGTACTAGTGCCACATTATATTACTGATACGTGAAAATGGGGTGTTTTAAAGGCAGGCATCTATGTGAAAAATTCTCCAGTGAAGGGGTTAATAAAGGACCCTCTAAGAACTAAATTAATGCAATATACAATGGCTCATATAACATAGGTTACTTGGTCATGTTCTCATCTGTAACAACCTGTATACCAAAGCCCATCTCAAATGGAAGTGTGAAAATTGCAGTTGTGATCAATGATTGAGTGATTCATGACATCCAAACAATGCACAAAACAGAGTGGTGGAAGAAACCACACTAGAGTAAGCCTTACTGACCCTAAATGGTTCAACAGACAGATAATTTTACAGGTCAATATTTGGATGTTTCATAGACCAATAAAAAAAACCATCAATAGTAGGAATGATTTAAAATAATACCTATTATATTCTAATGTTCCATTCAAAACAATTATGAAAGACTTTCAATGAGTTTCAACAACAGGATTGACATCTACCTTGGGAATGAAGATGACACACTGTTGTATTCTTGGTTGATCAGCCAGAGCCTGAAGGATAAGACACTTTGCATACTCCACATTATCAGGAGTTCCACGAATGACACATATTCTCTCTGTTGCACCAAAAACTGCATAATGGAAATAAAAAATACTCTCGTTAGCAAAACTTTCATTCAGCCAGCAGCATTTCTACTCATTTCAAAATTGAATTTTTTTACCAGTGGCTCACCTGGATCCTTGAACTCAATCCTAGTACCTGAGGCACCCTGAATCCTTCTGATGTTTTCCCCATCTCTTCCTATGATCAGACCAATTGAATCTTCAGGAATGTGAACCTCTTTCACTTCATATCTTGAAGACACCTTCCAATTCCAACTGCTGTCTCTCTGGATAAGAAATTTCAGGATTTATTCATTATATTATGTCAGCAATGATTTTCAAATAGGCCTACCAAACATATACAGATGATAACATCTCACCCCTTGTCAGTAGAGAAACAACAACTACTATTGAATGTCCATCTGGCAGGCATTTCAATAACTGGCATTGACTTGGAAGAGAGTTTTACCAATCTTAAAAGGTAAATTCACATGGGCAATATCATGGGGCTATGCCCAGGCATATGCTGGGCATAGGTCATGTCATGTCACGTCCTTGCATACAATTAGTCCGTTTGCATGAAGATTTTTCAAAATAAAGATTGCCACAAAAAGGGCTTCCCAACATTATTATTCAATGAGTCATGGAAGGCAACATGCACCAGATCAGTTAAGCTTAGAATTATGATTCCAGAATGGTCCCTTAAAGGAATTGGTTTGATGAAGAAACTCTTACTCCCATGGATGCTCATTATGATATCCATTCAGTTTGAAGTTAAATGACTAGAGAATATCACTGTGCATTTACAACTTTTAGTAGTCACCTCTGTAGATGAGAAAAAAGTGGAAAAGAAACCTCACATCATCCCTCACTATCCTCCCAGAGGAAAAAATCAGAACTCGCTGAACTTACTTTAACATGTACAATATACATAAATGAATATTAACGAGACAGACACAGCACAGCACAAACATTACATCCTGATTACATTATCAAATCATAGGGATTCTATATTTTCAGCACATGCCAAGTATTTAGATATGAAGTTAAGCAGATTTTTCTATAGTCACCAATGCCATATGGCCAGAAAACCAGCAGTTTCACTCAATTCCACAATCAGTACCAAGACAGAACAAATCTCATTTGAGCAAATATATGTTATGGCTTGATGTAAAAGATGCAATAGAAAAAAAGCCTTACACTTCATTGATTCAGAGCAAGTTGACAACCCTTGAACTCAAATTGTAGCCATACATTTCCACCATGACACAAGCACTTGTCCACTTTTATACCCTGTCAAACTTTTCAGCTGTGCATAGCAGACAGTAAATGTGCTTCAAGAGCATATATATCACGGCTTCCATTGCAGCATATGGGAAAAAATCAGAGATTTTACTATCGAATGGAGACCCGCCAAGTGACGCAATGTAGTTTTGACCTCCATATATATCTGGGCTGCTATTGCACGTCTTGTGATCAGGGCTGTCACAATCGGGGAAATTGTATCATGTGAAGAATTAACCTCTCCAAATAACTATAGGCCTGTGGAAAATGTATATTCCTTTAACCTGCAATGTCCATCTTGACTGACCACATGATAAGTTACCCAAGTGATTCCATGGCATTTTTAGCAAGCTGACAGTCACTCAGTGCAATACAATGCACACAAGTGACTCCCTCCAATGCTGATCGTTTAGAAGCAGCACAAAATGCCCATGTTTAACATTAGACCTATCTGTAGTAAAGGCTATGTTCCTTGGTAGGCCAGGCAAAGGCTCTACCTTTTCTGCCTTCACCTACTGTGCAACAAACGGCGCTAAGGAATTAAGGTAGGATTCCAGTGACAGACTTAGCCTACGATTGGCCTGGGCTATGTTCATACATCAACCCATGAATAGAAAAAAGTATATGCTATTAAACTCGATGTTGAGGCTAGGCTTAATAACTCTTTCATGCAATTCTTACATTGTTGAATGAATACCGGGAGACAATCAGATATCCCAGGGCCCCTATTGATATCGATACACCAATACCACAAGCGATAGCAAGCGGTTTAGAAAAGCCCTGCATTGTTCATTCAGGGAAGTTCCATACAGTCAGAGAACGTCACGTCACCTTAGGGCCTCATAAGCGATCAGGAAGCGAGGATGCTTCAACTCCAGTGCGCGAACAAGCAAGATGACATATTCAGATTCTTGATCAGGTTGCTATATGAAACAGGCACCATATTTTCTGCTATATTACGAACTTTACTTTTCTTGAATTTCTTAAAATTCAAGTTGAAACTTTACAAAACTGTACTTAATCCTGAGCGAGATTGATCTTCCTGATTTATGTATTGCCAGTGGCGTGCCCAAAGGGGGGGGGGGCATAACCCCCCTCTCCTTGAAATGCATCAGACATCCATTCTTCCACAGCAGTGGTGCACAACCTTTTCCCCCTAGAGGGGCAAATTAAGACTTCAGCTCACGTTCGAGGGGTTCCATGCCAATATGAGCCGAAATAGACTGCATTTGAATATGGATCTCTAGAGACCAGGGGCATCCAAGGGGCCGAAAAAAAAGGTATTCCTAGGCCGCGGGTTGTGCATCACTGTTCTGCAGGGTGGCCTCAATAGCCTCGTTAGGAAAAACTCAGCTTGCCTGGGAATTATGCAATTGTTCAGGACAAAAATATACCAAGGTCTTCATCCTAGCCGTAGGGCGCATATTCCCAGGAATGAGGACGACCGTTCAGTCATTCCCATCCTGCTTGGCTTTCTCCTGCTCTGCTTGCCATGCACCATAATGCTCCCCTCGCTCAGTACCTCCTTCTTTGGTTTTATCACGAACTTCATGGTAACTCTTTTTGAGAAGTTCCATTTTGTTTTGCACCACTGCAGGAGACTTCTTTACTCCCTTTTCTTGTATTCAAGTAGATGTCATTTGGTACACTTGGACGTTACATATTGTTCCATCAAACATGTCGTGAATTTGCTCCTCATTCATGAGAATTTTGGAGACCTGAGCACCCCTTTCATTAGGGGAGCAGCCAACCTCAGAAAAGGGCCATATTTTCGAAGTTTAATGCACCCCACATTCAGAAATGTGCTATATGCATCAACTTAAAGCTTATGACTTACTTATCAAGTTTCGACCGGTCGCCCTCAATTCCGAGTGGGCGGAGGCAAGATGGCGGACGAATTTAGAAGTTGCTGCCCCCACCTGAACATTTAAATAGTGATTGATCCATTGTCACACAACAGTGTGCCTGGTGTCTAAGTAGGGGCACTTTAGGTCAAGGAACCTAGTTTTGATTGAAAGGTAAGCTTTGCTTGAATGTGTCAAATTACGTAACTCTAATAAATGGCCACCACTCCTGTCACCAAAATGCCCAGAGAGAGGAATGCATAAGTCACACGAAGGTGCATTTGGTGCCTAATTGAGGGTATATCGTGTCGAAGAGGTCAGTCATTATTTGCAAAGTACCTTACACAGTAACAATACCCAATATGACAGCATATTTTCAAATCTCGGATGCCACATTCCCAAGCACAGGAGTCTTTAAAGTTTCTTGGCGTGTTCAATCATCTTCATCTTGAATACTATTCATCATAGAACAAAAATATTTGGTGGACACACCTTTGAGACCAAGGGGAACATGTGTCTGTGGTCAATGGTAATTTCCACCAGCGGACTCCACCTATCATGACATTTGCATCCTAAGTAGCCATGGGTGATCCAAAACTCGTCCACGGACAGTCCAGTTGTCCAGAGATGGGTCCAGAGGCGGTCGTCCTTTGGATGAACATGGGATGCCATCGCCATGGATCGATATCTTCTCATGCATTCTGGGCTTTATCGGAGTAAAATTATGTTACATCGAACGTTCAATTATTTCCCTTTTATTGAATGAGGGTTTTATATGATAGAATGGCGTTACGAGCATCAGATCATGGGATTTACTTTACTCTCTTTTTTTCTCTTCAAATGTCCCATCTTAGGTCGAAATCCAGTAACTTCAATCATAATATAGACAGTGTGACATTATACTTTGACCAGTGCATTATTTCATTTAGAGTTCATTTAGATTTCATTTAGAGGAACGAAATGATGAGTCAGTCCATTTTTTTTTACATCCATTGGACATTCAGCAAAGGAACTTCCAAGGGCATCTTCTCAGGGTCTACCCATGGATATCCTTAGATGGAGCCCCACCCAGTTGAGGCCCTCCAACCGACATTTAGCAGTTCATTCAATAAACGTGAAGTTCCCACAATATAAGCGAGGTGGCAATGAACACCCTACTGCAGCGGTTCTCAAACTGTGGGTCGCGACCCCCGCAAAGTCGCAAAGTGGGTCGCAAAGCGGTCCCAGTGGGATTGGAGATAATTAAGAAATCTCTTTTTCTTCACAGATTTCATGAAGCCAGTCGAACCATGCTTTCCGATAGAAAAATTTCTAAGGAAATTTTTTCCTGTTATGGCGAAAAGAAACCCCAATCGAGGAATAACCCAGTAAGCAGGTCATTAGGGGCATAGTAGAATAACAGGTGAAAGTAGAGCCACTGCTGCTATAATAGCATCTCTGGCGATAGCTTTGCCCTTAATCACCCCTGGGGGAGGGGGTGAGTAAAGGCAAAGCTGTCGTCAGAGGTGGAGTGTGTGGATGTGAGTTATGTGATTGTGAATCCGGTGGCACTAACCTCCAAGCGAGAAAGCCCGAGACTATTGCCTTTTCCAGTTCGGATATTAGATGTTGTCGTTAATAATAGTGATTTTGAATCCTAGGGGTGAAATTTCGAGGTACCTTTTGCATCAACATGCCATTGTGAATCTGCATTTTCTTCTTTGATGGTCATCAAAAGCAAATATAGTAACCGAATCACAGTTGAAGGTGACCTTGGGATGAGAATCAGCAGCATTATACCTCGTTTGGATCACATTTTCTCAGCAAAGTAGGCACACCCATCGCACTGAATAATGAGTAGCGCTGATTAATGATGTTTTAAATGCTTTATACGATTAAAAATAAATTTGAAGGAGAGTTACATTGCGCTTCATTTCACTTTTGTGAGCAGCCCAGGATGCTTATCCCATTAAGTTCTTTGATACCTTGTACTGGATTTCTCTTCCGCTTGAAAATTGGGGGTCGTAAGCTTTTGGCTTCCATGAAACTGGGTCGAGGACCCAAAAAGTTTGAGAACCGCTGCCCTACTGTATGTCTCCTGATTTCCTTAATGCTAATGAATTGCTTCGCGGAAGCTCTCATTCTCTACTCGATAATTTCCCATGTACGAGCCAAAGGAAGGAAGTCATTCCTATTAGTTCATTTCTTAAGAGACCTAACATTGCTCAAGAAGATTCGTGGCAATTCTTGTGCATTGCATGGAGAGAGAGTGGTTCCCCTTGTCAAGTCTATTCCATTCTCATATGGATCATGACGCCTTTGGCAACGGGAAACAGTCCCTTGATTGGGAGATGAGGATGAGAACTTGAAAGTAATATCTCAGTAATACCTTCCTTTCCATCTAAATCAGGGGTACTCAAAGTGCGGTCTGTGTGCCTTAGAGAACATCCACTTTGAGTACCCCTGATCTAAATGCACCTCTTCTATTTCTTCCCAGGAACGTGAGTGAATCTGCATAATTTCAGAAAATACTCCTCTCACATTATACGAACATTAATCAGCATGTAAAATTTTCTCCATTCCTACCCAGGAATGGGGTTTGCTATCGGATGACCATTGAGGGATGTAGCAATGGCAATCCATTGCTACATCCCTCAATGGTCATCCGATAGCTTTCCCACAGGGAATCTTCAATGGATCCCAAAAAAACGGACATCCGATAGGCCATCCAATGGACATGTCCAAGGATTATCCTTGGACAAGACATTTAGTCATCAAGCAGATGTCTGAGGAGGATATACATTGGATGTCCAAGTGTCCGTGAGTGTATGTCCAGTGGATTTATTTTGGTTCAAAATAGCTACTTGAGGACGTTCCATGGGTACATCTTAGTTATGAGAGAAAATACTGCAGTGCTTTCATAGGATGCTAAATTATGCATTATCTTTCTATTTTAATCTGAGAGCTTGCATACGAATGCCAGAGATTTTGAGTGGTTCAAGAAATCAGATTTGCAGAGTATTCTTCCCAAAGTGATATCTGTAAGCACAACATATTGACAAGTGCATACGTGTGTATACTGCAGGGCATCTAATGGCATAAATCACACCTCACCTTTCAGAAACAAGAATAATCAATTGAGGATATATGAGGTGATTCTCCACCCTAACCGCTAGGTGGTCAGTGCACCTGCACTACACCATGATGATTTCACCCAAGTCAGGGAGGTGCACGCTCTTTATCTTCTATCTCTTTGAACCAGACAATGAAGACTAATTTCCTCTTACTTTTTTGCACAAAATGACATTAATGAGAATTACCTCACTTCTCCAAACAGTAAGGGACAAGTTGTCTGGACAAGCTTTCAGTCTAGGTTGCATAAAAGATCCTTGACAAGATAGTTCAAAATGGCTCATCAAATGGCCACATGAAGCAAGGGTTCCTCATCAATTTCAGAGCACTATACATTTTTGGTTTGCATGCAGAGTGTCTATCAATAGTTGGATCTTCACCCACCAACAGGAAAAATGTGCTGGCATAAATTTTGATACAGCAGTTAATATCTTGGAAGTAATTGAATTTTTCACACAATTGAATTTTGTTTCTGCTTCAATTTCCACATTGATTCCTCCCCCCTCTTTTTATCCACCAATAAGACAGGACTGACTTGATTTTCAATGAGGAGGTAACATGACTGCAGTTGCAATGCAATGAATTTTCCCATACATGGGCATTCCCACCATGCACATTTGAATATGCTTCATCAAGTAAAATCTTTGTAAACTCTCAGGATGATATGAGTGCCTTGATGGGACCAGAGGACAAAGCTCTCTTCATCTCCAAAGAATGAATCTTTTTTAACTGCTCAATATCATTAAAAAAAATCCTGCTTTCAAAACAATATTGTAGCTACATCGAATTAAATTTTCTCAACAAAGTGTAACGGGCCGACGCCCTTCCAGTCCTGTCACGGTGCAACGGGCCACCGCCCTTCCAGACATGTCGTCCAGAGAAAGGAAAAGGAGGCATGCTGATTCAGGAGACGGACGGAAGTAAGGGTGATAAGCTGAGGAGACAAGGGGAAAACGTATACGAACCTTTCCTCCCAAAGGAAGAAAGAGTTTCTGAAAGGATAGTTGTCAGGCGCGGGACGCTAGGAAGCGAATTTGATCAAATATTTGTTGTCTGTACTTAACAACCTGCCGCAGCGCCCCGTGCCCGTGACAAGAAGAAGTGAAGAGACAGCTTGGATTCTCTACTGTAACAGCTATAGTTGCTAGTAACCACAGGGCTGTTACTCATGGTACATTGTCAAATTGTGCTGGACACAATAGGAGAGTATACTATTAGTGTAAACTATTAGTGTACTCTCCTACCACATAAATTTACTTGATCGATTAATGCTTGCTACAGAACATGATCATACGCTTACATAGACATGTCAACGAATAGTCATTTCTGAACGAAGTCATTATTTCCACGCCCAAATAGAAGAAATTTGTATTTGCTTTTTTGCATTTATCCATCATCTCCTTCCTTGTCTAGACACAAATTCCTTGCAGAGAATGTTTACAAACTACTCTTTACTTCCAAGGAGGTTCTAACTTTTGTACCACATGGGGACGGAATCAATGTAGCTCAGTTAGTCAAAGCCCCATAAGTGACAGTTTATAATTCCACATCTAATCAATATAGATTCAAAGCCTTCATTCACAGTACAAATGTCTTGTGCAACATATCTGTTATGAAAAGGTGTTAGTGCTCCATCTGGTCAAATGGAAGGATATATTCATGAAAAAATGTCAGTCTTTGGAGTTGAACAAACAATCATACCCTGTAAGTAACGTGGCCTTCTTGGAAAACAGAGCCGTGTTAATCCCAAGAGACTTTAGGATAACAAAAATTAAAATTAAAATGATAAGCACAATAAATGATGCAAAATATGCGCCAATACATCGGATTTCCGAAATGGCGTCCTGTTTTATCAATGATAGTGTCCAACAGTAGAATGCTCAACAGCATGGCATATTGTTTATTTCTAACTTCTCAGGAATATGTCAAGAATTGGCGTTAGTGAAAGACTCAGTCAGTCCCAAAAGTCAATATATATTGAAAATTACTTCTCCCCTTAGACACAACACTGTGGCCATTAAGTCAAAAATTAGAATCTCCACATGACTTATATGCTAAGCATGCAAAAATTAGGTGCAAAGAAAGTTTTCGTATCGATTGTAATAAACGGAAGAGCAGGATATTGATCCCACTATTATGGATTCATAGGGTTCTCAAGCGTAATATTACTGACATCACGAGAATGTGATCTAGCAAATCGCCAGACACTAATGCGATCATGTTCCCAAAAGTAAAACGAAATAGTAAATTAAAATTAAAAGCAAACAACAGAAAATTAAATCAAGAAAGGAAAAAAAAAACAAAACAAATACGACTGAAGAGAAAAAAGGAAATAAGGAGAGACATGGATGTTTAGGAACTGCAGTGAAGACCACTTCGGAGATAGAATTATAAATAGAATGTGAGATACCCAGAATGGCTGTTGGCGGCAAAGAAACTGATTGGCGGGGAGGGCGCGGTTCCCCGAGCATGCCGCGCTCGTCACGGACGGATCGCGCTCGGGATTGGAGGACGAGGCAACGTCTTCCGAGCATGCCGCGCTCGTCACAGCCCGGTTCCTCATAAGCGTCGGGAACCCCCGACGCGTCAGTCAGACTCGCACGCCCGTGACACGAGCAAGCATGCCCCCCAAGACGAGTGGAAAGGCCGCCAAGAAGGCCGGCAAGGCCCAGAAGAACATCTCCAAGGGAGACAAGAAGAAGCGCAAGAAGAGGAAGGAGAGCTACGCACTTTACATCTACAAGGTGCTGAAGCAGGTCCACCCCGATACCGGAATCTCGAGCAAGGCCATGAGCATCATGAACAGTTTCGTGAACGACATCTTCGAGCGCATCGCCGCCGAGGCCTCCCGTCTCGCCCACTACAACAAGAGATCCACCATCACCAGTCGGGAGATCCAGACCGCCGTCCGACTCCTCCTGCCCGGAGAACTGGCCAAGCACGCCGTCAGTGAGGGAACCAAGGCAGTCACCAAGTACACCAGCTCCAAGTAAAAGGCTGGACGAGAGCAAAAAGAAAGCCTGGGGAAAACACCAGGTTAAACGGCCCTTTTCAGGGCCAACCATTCCTTTCCCGAGGAGGGATCCCGAGATCGGTGTGTGCGTGTGCACGTTACTTATTTTTTTCTTTGCCTCGAAAACGAAGGAAATTGGACAAATTTTTTTTTACGAGACAACAGATGAAAGGAAAACGAAGGCACTGGGATTGTGAAAAAAAAAAAAAAAAAATGATAACGAGAGAGAGAGAAGAGCATCGGGTGGACGAGCCTCTTGCGCGCACGTCCCTCATCATTTTATTTCCTTTTTGAATTAATTAAAAACATATTTCTTCGATCATCGCGAGAGGGACGCGTTCTGACGGAAAGGAAAGAGGAAAAACGGCGGGAGAAAGTTCGACGACACACAGAGAGAGTGTGAAGGCCGGGAAAAAAAAAGCGGGGATTGGGGGTCGAGCTGGAGCTCTTACCAATGAGACCATTCGAATGGTCTCATTCGTAAGAGCTCTCGACCCTCTCTCTTTGAGGGAAACGTGTAGCACGCGTCGGATCCGATTGGACGCGTCCGCCGCGCCAGGGCGCGTTCTGATTGGCTCTCCTGGAACGAGTCGATCTCGACCTCAGAAACGGACGCGAGAACCCCTTGGAAAAGCTCTTCCCAATGAGACCATTCGAATGGTCTCATTCGTAAGAGCTCCTGAATGGCCTCCCTTCTCTGTCTTTGTGTTTCTCTCGAGATCTCGTGCGATTCCATTCTCGTATCTCGTTTTCTTTTCTAAATTAATTCCATTCCTTCCCGGTTCGTGCGTCGTCGTACATCAGAAAAGGCCTGCATATCTTTTCTCTTCTCTATTCTCTCCTTCACGATCGCGTCATGGTGTCAGTACGTGTGCGTGTGCGCTCGAACACCGTGAGATGATACTCCCAGAAAGCATCGAGTGGCCCTGAAAAGGGCCGTTTTCCTTGTTGCAGAAGTGCGACAAGCGTTTAGGCGCGTTCGCCGCGGATTCGGCGAGCGAGCTGGATGTCCTTGGGCATGATGGTCACGCGCTTGGCATGGATGGCGCACAGGTTGGTGTCTTCGAAGAGCCCGACCAGGTAGGCTTCGCTGGCCTCCTGCAGGGCCATGACGGCGGAACCCTGGAAGCGGAGATCGGTCTTGAAGTCCTGGGCGATTTCTCTCACGAGGCGCTGGAAGGGCAGCTTCCTGATGAGGAGCTCGGTGCTCTTCTGATAACGACGGATCTCTCGGAGAGCGACCGTTCCGGGCCTGTAACGATGGGGCTTCTTCACGCCTCCGGTGGCCGGGGCACTCTTACGAGCCGCCTTGGTGGCCAGCTGCTTGCGAGGAGCCTTTCCTCCCGTGGACTTGCGGGCTGTCTGCTTGGTTCGTGCCATGGCGAACGTCGATCGACGAGTCGAGAGTCGAGAATGAACGAGAAACGAGACGAACGCGGTTTTCCATTCTTTTATATCACTTGTGGGGAGAGGGACGGCTCTGATTGGTCCGAGTCGGGCGTGCAAGGGTGCGTTCTGATTGGTCCTTCCAGCACGAGTCGATCTCTCACTCTCTCTCCGCGCTCGGGACCGACCGTACGTAGGAGTCATTCCCCCGTCTCTCCTCTCCCCCAAGCACTTCTGACACGAGAGTGTCTCGGAGTCCCGGATTTTCGCGATTTCATGCAGATTCAGTACAGATTCCATTCCGATTCGGTTCCAGTGCCACTCAGTTACACGCCAGGACATGGAGTGCCCTTTCCCTCGCCAAGAAAACATCAAAATCTAACGGCCTCGGCGGGGCGAGGAAAAAAAACTATGTCCAACGCTTATAAAAACTGATGCAATGTTAACAGAAAAAAAAACCGGCCGAATCCGTGCAGAGAGTGCACCAGCAAACAGAGATGAAACCGGTCGCAAGAGAGAAATCATCATGTCAGAGGCTGCTACTGTCGAGGAAATGAGAATGGGATTTCGCGACACGCGTAAGCCAAGCCGCGACACTGCTGTGCAGAATCCTGCTCCCGTTCGATCCTCATCCTCGAGCGTGATGATTAAAAAGCTCTTTCTCTCGTTCCCTTTTCTTCTCTTCCCGTCTCTCTCAAAAAAATATGACCGAGATGTATAGGGGAATAATAGTATAAAGAAAAATAATAAAGAACCGCTTCCTCGAAGGGACTTTCCGACATCGTGAACACAGAAATGCATGCGTTCATTCATTCGTTCAAGTTTCGCTCTTTCCATCTTTTTCTTTTGTACTGAAATCGGCACACACGTTTGGAATAACGACCCTCGTTCGAGCTGGTGGTCCTGAAAAGGACCGTTTCGTGATGAGAGGAGTGGCGGAAAAAAAAAAAGCCGTCTCCCGTTTACGTCTTCTTCTCGCTCTTCCTGGGCAGAAGCACGGCCTGGATGTTGGGCAGCACACCACCCTGGGCGATGGTCACGCCGGAGAGGAGCTTGTTCAATTCCTCGTCGTTCCTGATGGCCAGCTGCAAGTGCCTGGGGATGATGCGAGTCTTCTTGTTGTCACGGGCGGCATTCCCTGCCAATTCCAGGACTTCGGCTGCGAGGTACTCCATGACGGCTGCCAGGTACACGGGGGCACCGGCTCCCACGCGCTCGGCGTAGTTGCCCTTCCTCAGGAGACGATGGATACGTCCGACGGGGAACTGAAGTCCCGCACGGCTGGAGCGAGACTTGCTCTTTCCCTTCACCTTTCCTCCCTTGCCGCGGCCAGACATGATTTGCAGTGGGACGTGCGTGTGTGCGAGCGAGAGTTCACACTCGAGAGTGATACGTATGTGTAGAGCGGAGAACGGAGGGGATGGTGGAGAAAAGGAATCCGCCCGTGATCGAAACTGATTGGCGGGGAGGGCGCGGTTCCCCGAGCATGCCGCGCTCGTCACGGACGGATCGCGCTCGGGATTGGAGGACGAGGCAACGTCTTCCGAGCATGCCGCGCTCGTCACAGCCCGGTTCCTCATAAGCGTCGGGATCCCCCGACGCGTCAGTCAGACTCGCACGCCCGTGACACGAGCAAGCATGCCCCCCAAGACGAGTGGAAAGGCCGCCAAGAAGGCCGGCAAGGCCCAGAAGAACATCTCCAAGGGAGACAAGAAGAAGCGCAAGAAGAGGAAGGAGAGCTACGCACTTTACATCTACAAGGTGCTGAAGCAGGTCCACCCCGATACCGGAATCTCGAGCAAGGCCATGAGCATCATGAACAGTTTCGTGAACGACATCTTCGAGCGCATCGCCGCCGAGGCCTCCCGTCTCGCCCACTACAACAAGAGATCCACCATCACCAGTCGGGAGATCCAGACCGCCGTCCGACTCCTCCTGCCCGGAGAACTGGCCAAGCACGCCGTCAGTGAGGGAACCAAGGCAGTCACCAAGTACACCAGCTCCAAGTAAAAGGCTGGACGAGAGCAAAAAGAAAGCCTGGGGAAAACACCAGGTTAAACGGCCCTTTTCAGGGCCAACCATTCCTTTCCCGAGGAGGGATCCCGAGATCGGTGTGTGCGTGTGCACGTTACTTATTTTTTTCTTTGCCTCGAAAACGAAGGAAATTGGACAAATTTTTTTTTACGAGACAACAGATGAAAGGAAAACGAAGGCACTGGGATTGTGAAAAAAAAAAAAAAATAATGATAACGAGAGAGAGAGAAGAGCATCGGGTGGACGAGCCTCTTGCGCGCACGTCCCTCATCATTTTATTTCCTTTTTGAATTAATTAAAAACATATTTCTTCGATCATCGCGAGAGGGACGCGTTCTGACGGAAAGGAAAGAGGAAAAACGGCGGGAGAAAGTTCGACGACACACAGAGAGAGTGTGAAGGCCGGGAAAAAAAAAGCGGGGATTGGGGGTCGAGCTGGAGCTCTTACGAATGAGACCATTCGAATGGTCTCATTGGGAAGAGCTTTTCCAAGGGGTTCTCGCGTGCGTTTCTGAGGTCGAGATCGACTCGTTCCGGGAGAGCCAATCAGAACGCGCCCTGGCGCGGCGGACGCGTCCAATCGGATCCGACGCGTGCTACACGTTTCCCTCAAAGAGAGAGGGTCGAGAGCTCTTACGAATGAGACCATTCGAATGGTCTCATTGGTAAGCGCTGGGGAGATACCCCCAGCGGCTGGGAGCAGGCGAGCTCATTCTCCTTCGTTCGCTCGCTCGTCGTCGTCGTTCGTCCGTCGTGCGCTCGAAATTCAACCATGTCTGGTCGTGGCAAGGGAGGCAAGGGACTCGGAAAGGGTGGCGCCAAGCGTCATCGCAAGGTTCTGCGTGACAACATCCAAGGCATCACGAAGCCTGCCATCCGTCGTCTTGCTCGTCGCGGTGGAGTCAAGCGTATCTCCGGTCTCATCTACGAGGAAACTCGTGGTGTCCTGAAGGTGTTCCTCGAGAACGTCATCCGAGATGCCGTCACCTACACCGAACACGCCAAGAGGAAGACCGTCACGGCCATGGACGTCGTCTACGCCCTCAAGAGGCAGGGACGTACTCTGTATGGTTTCGGCGGTTAGATCTTTTTTTCCATCCGATGGGAAGAGAAAAAAAGGAGACACCCAAAAAACGGTCCTTCTAAGGGCCACCCCATATCCATCCATGGAACGAATCCCTTCAGTGTGCGTGCAAAAAGAGAGAGAGGAAATCTATGACAGATATGCATTTTCTCGCTGCTTCGTAGCATCGTTTCGTTCGTACACCGAGCGCAAATCATTTCTCTGGGTCACTCACACACGTCTCCGTTTCCATTCCGGATCTCGGACGTCAGGCGATCGAAAGGGGGAAAAAAAAAAAAAAAAAAGGAGTTTTTTTCCATGGGATTCAGACACTCTCGCCTCTTTTTGAAGAAAGGGTTATGTGGAATCTCTCGCCGTCTCTGAGCGATTGGTCCGTCGGCGCTGCGAAGAGCGCGTTCTGATTGGTCCTCCTGGAACGAGTCGATCTCGACCTCAGAAACGGACGCGAGAACCCCTTGGAAAAGCTCTTCTCAATGAGACCATTCGAATGGTCTCATTCGTAAGAGCTCTCGACCCTCTCTCTTTGAGGGAAACGTGTAGCACGCGTCGGATCCGATTGGACGCGTCCGCCGCGCCAGGGCGCGTTCTGATTGGCTCTCCTGGAACGAGTCGATCTCGACCTCAGAAACGGACGCGAGAACCCCTTGGAAAAGCTCTTCCCAATGAGACCATTCGAATGGTCTCATTCGTAAGAGCTC